GACTGGTCCTGCCACTTGCGGGTCTGCAATGAGCCCTCCAGGTACACCTTGGAGCCCTTGCGCAGGTAGTTCTCGGCGGTCTTGGCGAGGTGGTCATTGAAGATCACCACGTTGTGCCACTCGGTCTTTTCCTTGCGTTCGCCGGTGGCCTTGTCGCGCCAGCTCTCAGAGGTAGCGACACGCAGGTTCACCACCGGGTCGCCATTGTTCAGGCGGCGCACTTCAGGATCAGCGCCAAGCGCGCCAATCAGAATGACCTTGTTCACACTGCCAGCCATTTATGCGGCCTCCTTCTTCTTCGGCTTGCCTTGGATCTTCGCCACGAGCGGGGCAACATCGTCATTGGTCAGCCCGAAATCGCGGCGGGTCTTCTTCTGGGTGTCTTCATTCCACCAGCTTGCGGCTTCCTCGAAGGTCTCAATGCCGTCGATCATGTCGCTGAGTTGCTGGATAAAACGATCTGCAGACGGGTCGCGCTCCGGCGGGGCATTCCCCACATTGCTGCGCTCCTTGTCGTAGAGCGCCATGCCGAGGGGCCAGCCAAACGTCATAAGCGCGCGCTTGGTGGCGTCGGTCTCGGCCTCCTTCAGGGCGCTCTCGTGAGCTTCGCCTAGGTCGGTTCCGATGCCGTGGCCAGCGCCGCACCCTTCGCGCACAACGCCGTGCGCAGTGACGCGGACCTTGGCTGTGTAGGTGACTGACCAGCCGTCTTTCTGCTCTCGGCCAATCTTGCGTTCGCGTTCGCATGCCAGCGCCAGATTGACGGTTTCACGGGTCCAGCCATCGAAGCCAAAAATGCGGTTGGCTTCAGCCATCGCATACCAGCCTTCGATGTAGCTCACCTGACTGCCGCCTTGCTTGCGGCTGGCGATGGCGTCGGGGCTGAGTGGCTTCTGAAGTTCGGCCTTGATCTTGTCGTCAAACATTAACGCCTCCGCACACTGACGGTTTCCCCGCCATTGGTCAGGGCAGCACCCGGAATGGTTGCCCCGGCTTTCAGGGCCGCTTTGATCGCGGCCTTGTCCGGGTCGCGCTTGACGCGCACGTATTCGTCAGACAACAGCTCAGGCTCGATAACCTCGACGCCTTGCGGCACTGCCCGCAGCGACACGGTGTATTCGGCGCGCTCGATCTTGCGCAGGCCCGCCGTATCCATTGCGGCATGAACCACAGAGCGGCGCGTTGACTGGCGGCGGTCAATCCGCGCCTTACGCTCCTTCAGTTCGTCCTGACGGGCCTTGATGCCTGCAAGCCGCTCGTCGTCCGCTGCGTCATCCGCCATGATGGCGTCGATCAGCTCGAACAGCGATGTCTCGCCCTCCACCATGTCAATGGTCAGGTCTTCGTCATTGTGCTGCTCAAGCGCGGCGCGGATTTGCCCGGCAAGCTCGGCTTCGATCTTCAGGTCACGCGGATGCATGTTCAGCCTCCTTCTCAGCGGCGTTGATCAGCTCGGTGAGCTTGTTGCGCAGGGCCTTGAGGCCGGTCACATGGCGGGGGGCTCCGCCCAGCCTGCGCACGCGCTTGGCCTGCTCCTGGTAATCCTCAACGGCCCATTGCAGGCGTTGCAGGCGATCCGTCAGCATGACTTCAGCGCGGAAAAGTGCGTGGTTCATCTTTCACTCTCCAAAGGGTGCGGCCCGGAGACAGAGGGAGGGTCTGCCTCCGGCCATTTGCGCGCTGCAGGGAGGGGAGCCAGCGCGCGCAAGGGGTTATGCTTGGGGCTCGCCTTCGTGGTGCCAAATGACCGTTCTGGACTCCACCCACCAATCTCTGTCAGGCTCGCGATAATGAGCTATGTCTGCGGCTTTCGTGGCCTTGGCCCGGTTGGTGTAAACGCCGACCTGCTCCCCGGACACTCCAACCGTTTGCTTCATCACAACGTAGAGGGTTGCCTTGCCTTGCATGTCAGGCTCCTTCGCTTTCGTTGCTTGGCGCATACGTCCGGCGGAACGGGTACATGTCTTCAGGCGTCACCTTGTCCTGCCGGGTCATGCGTTGGGCGATTTCATGCTCACGCTTGGCGAGGTCACGCAGGATTGGCAGGGTGTCTTTCGGTGATAGACCGAAGCGGATCTTCAGCGCGGTTGCGGCCTTGCACACATGCGGGGTGTCTGCGGTGCTCATTGCTCTTCTCCGTTACGTGCGGCGAGCATGGCGTCTGCGTATTCGTAAGCCTCACGGGCAGCATTAACCGGTCGATTGTGCGAGCCCGGAACACAGGCAAGAAACCCAGCCAAAGCCTGCCCAGCGAACCAGTCGCGCAGGGACATGCCGGGACCGGCGTCATCGCCAAGGTTCATGTCCGGCGTCCAGATCGGGTATGCCGGTCCGCCATCTTTGCGTTGCGTGCTCATTGCTCTTCTCCTTTGATCTTGGAGATCAGCAACTGCCAGCCGTCTTGAGCTTCGCGCTGCTCCGGGCCATCCAGAAGGTAAGCGACACGATCCGCGAACGCGTCCGCATCAATCCCATCTGGGCGCAGGAAGTCGATCAGGTGGCCCTGAAGCTGCTTGAGTAGGGCGTCCATA